TGAATTTTGCATCTCTAGGGCACTGAGTAAGCAATCTCTAAATAAAAGCCTATAAGATAATAGCAGCCTTGCTTACAATTTGTTAGAAAATTTTGAAAGTATTTATTGAGCATCAGCCCTTCAGAAAATCTATTTATTCTCCTCAAATACAAATGTATCTGTGACTGGGCTTCTTGAAATTGTGCTAGTTAGCATCTGTCTCAGTTTATGTGTGTGGAATGGAGAGGAGTGAGAGAGGCTCTTCACTGTTGGAAGAGCCGTAAAAATTATTACATATACAACCATGGCTGTCACTGGACAAGCCATAAACCAGAGAAACTTGCTTAATTTACATTTGAGTATCCCTCTTGGCTTTCCTGTTGTCTAAGGACCCTTCCTCTAAGCAGCTGCAGCACTCTATCTGTGACTGGAACATGGTACAGTCACACAATTTGGTCGCTTTGCTGTATGCAGGTCAAATGCTTTCAGCCATAGAAATTGTACAGTAAAAGCTTAGATATGTGGTTGTTCTCACTTTTAATAACTACGTGAGGCAGAAGGTCAGCTATTTCTTGGGATTATCAAAATGAGTAAGTGGGGAGAGCACAGCTGGGAAATTAAGTTTGTACTCGAATGCCTCTACCATTTAACTTTGGATACAATTTAAAGTACCTTAATAAAGCAAAAGCCCAAATTTGTAAGGCAAGTGGTGCTCCCAGGTAATTTATTTAAATGGGATTTTGTTGGTTTGGGTTTTTTGCTTTAGTTTGTTTGTTTGTTTTGACATCTCTAAATGTGATTTCTTGTTTGATTTATGTGTTGAAGGGCCTAGATCCCCTTAATTTTCAGTAATACTCAGCTATGTAAGTCCTTGAGTCACTGTTGAAAATCAGACTGGGGGACTATTTCCAAGTTCCAAATAGGGTTACCCTGGATTCTATTCCCAGACCTGCTGCCTGTTGAGGCTACCCTGGTGCCTTAAACTTATCCCATGCCCCAGATCATGCTGAAGAGCAGAATCCAGTCACCAGTACTGAATGGATGTGACTGACTACTGACCTTCCCAGCTGGGTCTCCCTTCCAAGCAGCAAAATGGCACCTTGTCAGCCTCACAGAATTTGGTTCCATGGGCCTGTGTTCCTGCTGTCCCAGGCAGGGTAACTCCGTTTGACTAACTCTGTCCATGCTAAGCAGAATGTTTACTGGCTTGTATCTGTCCCAGCCTTGACACTAACAAAAGCTTAGAAATCATGAATGCATCCCCTTATTTCTCCTCCACAGTGCCTCTCTTTTTTTCTGTGTAAACCCTTCACTTGCCTCTTGCCCAGCCTTTAGAAATTATGATCAAATGTGAACTTTCAGGGTTTATTTATAGCATAGCCTTTATAGAAAGACAGAAAAGAAATTATTAAAAAGCAGTTTTACAAAATATTTTGTTTTAAAGAGAATTCATTGTTTAAATCACTGTATTCACTGTACTGTCTAGACTGGCAAACAAAGAAGATAGAGAGCATCATTCAAGTTAAGATTGTGAAATTCTTGGTGACTGAAATTATGGATTTGGATGTCAACCCTCAAACCAATGCTGTTCATTTCTGAACAGCAGTATTATCACTTTGCTATATTTAAGACTTTGTTGGAGACACAACAGTGCACAAGGTTGATTTGATTCAGTAATGCAATTCCTATGTTCCTTTGTTTCCGCTTTCATTATAAATTCATATTTTCAATGTTCTGTTCCTCTTTGTCCCCAGAAAATTGTTGAAAAAACTCTCCTCTGGGAGTAAAGTTTTTGTTCAAGCTAACAATGACCAGACTGACTTAAAAAACAGAAAAACACACAACTGAAATGGAAATTAAGAGAGGGAATTAATTTAGGATATTTTGAGTGACCTAGAATGAGTTGTTGAAAATTGCTGGCTGTTTTTTTTTTTTAATGTGTTATTCCACATTACTGTGGTAGTTGCTGTGAGACCTTCATGCTGTGGATTCTCAAAGACCTATGCATTTTCTGTAGATTTAAAAATACAAAAGTATTTTACCTGGTAAACTGGAAAGACATGGCAACTTCCTCCTTAGCTAAACGTGGAGAGATAGGTGAACCAGCAGATAAAGCAGCAGCCAGGCCCTGTTCCCTTGTTAAGATTAGGGCTTGAGGGACCACTTTTCCTTTAGGGACCTCTCTAGCCTGTCCTCCTGGTGGCCCATCATAGAATCATTTAGGTTGGAAAAGACCCTTAAGACCATTGATTCCAACCATAAATTCAGAGCCATGGCTCCCTCCCTGGCTGCCTGTCAGAGGATGGGACCTCTATGGCAGGAGTTTCAGGTTGGTGAGACCTCACAGGGAGCATATGAGGTTTTCATCAGCCCTGCAGAGTGTTGGTTTGGCCTTTTGAAGGTGGTCTGAAAGCTGGAGTGTGGCAGGTGCCCTGCGTGGTGTTGGGCCCAGCAGGTTAGGAGAGGTGAGGAGTGAGGGGACATGGGGGTGGAGCCCGAGGCGGGGCCGGGGCGGCAGCAGCCGGCAGGACTGAGCCGTGCTGAGCCGAGCCAGGCTGCTCTCACGCCTCCTATGCCTGGTGGGGCCGGTGCTGGTGTCTATTCTTTCTTGAACCAACCTGAGGAGACCTGGAGTTAGATGTATAACAGCGTAAAAATAAAACGTGTCTGAAGATCTGTTTATCTCCAGAGGCTGGCCTGTTTCCCAAAGATGCAGTAATGCATTTTTCAGCACTGGAAGTCGTAAGAGGCCCCAGAGTGAAGCAGAACATGAGTGTGTGCAGTACTTACGGCAGAAGCAGAACGTGTCCTGGGAACGGTGCCGTGTCCTGTTCCTTTAAGGCTTCCCAGAACGGGGCAGCAGCAGCAGGCCGGCCCTGTCTGGGCATGGAGCACGTGGATGCCAAGCTTCAGCCCTCCCTTTCATTTTTTTTGCACCTGTGGAAAAAAGTGGATTTGTCTGAGACTTTTGGACCCTTTAGATGTCTTATTTTTGTGCAGTCTCCAGAGCAATTCAAAAGGAGGCTTAAATCAGGGAGCAGAAATCTCTTGTCACGAGTTAAAGTGCTTCAAGGGGCTTTGACTTTGCTTTACATTTTCTGTAAGACACAAAATTATCTGGAAAAGCAGTATGGATTGTAACAGGGGGAATTGCCTTTGACTTTTTTTTCCTGTGCATTCATTCATTTTTCTGGTTAGCCTCTAAATACAGCTGGCCATGTAAGGGAGTTGTAAAAAACAGACTTGTAAACAGGAACAATGCCTGAGATAGTATCACCTGTTAAAGAACAGGGAATAAATGCCCATTTCTCTTACTGGGAAAGACAGCAACCTTTCCGTGCCAGTATTTTAATCTGGCTGGTGTGCAGAGTGTCTGTGCCAGCAGGCTCACATGTCCCAGAGAAAAGAACACACTATCTTGCTGGAAGTGTCATTTCAAGGGTGTTTCTTGGGGAATCCAAGTACGATCAACTTCTGCACGTATGGAAGTATATGGGCATATGAGTGCACTGAAAGATTCCCTGCTGTTTTATCAGAGGCCCTAGCAGAGTAAATCCTGACTGCACATCACTGGCAGTGTTTTTTGCTTTGGTGGAGCCACAGTTTCATCCAGTTTTAACCCCCTGAAGCTGAACAATGTAAAAGTAGCTGTTCCACATTCTGGTAGCGCATTTGGACTGACAGTATCAAAGAATTGATGCTGGAGGATGGAACAAACACACGTGCTTAGCTGAGCAAACACGGCTGTGCATGGGAGAATGAGGATCCTCTGCCTTCACAGGCAGCCCACTTACATCCTGGCATTTAGGCCATGATCATATTTCTTTAACACAGGGGAAATGGGAAACCAGAAGGTGTAAGGTCTGTTGGTCATCTTGCTTGTCCTCAGAGCCTCCCTGTCTGCCCTGGGCTGGTGGAGCTGTGCTTACGTTGCTCATCCACGTTACAAAGTTCTAGGAGATCCTCAGTTGTAAAATGCTGGATTAGTGGAAAGCAAAGATTTTACTACAGAAGATATCACAGCCTATAAAATAATCCAATTCCTTTAACAATTTAGCCATAGTTGAGTAGATGGCTTCCAGCAGCAGCAGAGGCTGATTGTTCTCCAAGGCTTGTTCTGATACTCTCCCAGTGTTGTGCCTTAGGCGCTAACATTGTGACAGATGTAGGGTCTTGCTTGGAAGCTATGAACACTGATACAGATGTGGTCAGACACTGATTCTTGAGTCCTGATCTTTTATGTTCCATCTGAAAGCTATGGCTTTAATGCTCCATATGAAATAACTTACACTGAAAAGAGTCTGTGCCTGCTGCCTCTACCCTGACCTGAAAGCTTGATCCTCTCTCGACATGGGTGATTTGTGTCTCATTCCAGCAGGATTGCTCAGGACAATCCACAGAAAATCAGAATCTTACAGAGATGAGGAGAGGAACCAAATTATTTGGTCCTCTCCTTTCCACACAGGACTGTGTCCCAGAGCCTCCTGCAGGAGATCCTTCATCTGGCTTTGCTTTGGCTAAAAGCAGAGTAGGCTCAAAGTCTGTCTCTTACCCCTTTCGACTGGAATGTGGGGGCAGCAGTGGGCTCTCTAACAGAAACTAGCAAGGTACCTTTAGCTTCTGGAGAGCACTCGAGTCCTCCCTTGCTGCAGGGAATTGATACTTTTGAGAATATGCTTAAGGGATCTTGTGTACAGTATAATTTTATTTGAGAACTCTCCCCTCTGGGGATGCAGTGTTTAACATTTCCTTTGGTTAGTGTAAATAATAAAGGAAAGGCCTGTTTTGTCTTGGACTCCCAGTAAGAAAGAGGAACAGACTTTGGTTTACTGAGGGGTCTGCAGTACTTTGTTCTCATGACTACTATATAATGGGATTGAACATATTTTATGCCATCTGGCCTGTGCAGCAGAAACAAAATACATCAGTAATGTTCCGATTGGTTTTGAAACATCTTGTTCTTGTCAAAAAGTATTTTAAATCAAAACAGGCTTTTCCAGTTTGTGTTTCTCTTTTACTAGGAGGCCATGGCGAAAATGGGGAAAATTGGGAGAGTCGTGCAGCCTAATCATGAGCATAAAAGGTAATCCTGACTTTTGTGTGTTTCTCTGTGGGCATTTACTGAGCATGAAGTTAAAGGATATCTCTTTATAGTGGTAGTATTTATGACCCAGATTTTCTTCGGATTACATGGGCACCCAGCTCAGTGAGCTGGCTGAGGGTGGTCATTTGCTGTCGGTGGGATGTGAGCACCATCCCGTGGGGCTCTGCCCGCCCCCCTTGCTTTCCTTGGCGAGCAAAGGCCGCCGGCAGCGCGGGGGTTGTGGGA